CAACCCAGTTCTGGCCATTTTTCACTATGGGTAACAGAGATCCTGATGATACACTGGAAGAAGGACTTGTGCCACTTTTTATGGCACAAAGAGGAATGTGAGATCCAATGAGATCAAGCTCCTAAGGAATGGAACTGAAGTCAGAATCTAAGTCTGGGGACTTGCGGCCATTTCAAAGACCTTATGTTTACATAGCAAAGTTGTGGTGGACTGGAAGAGGGAAGCACCCTACTCACATCCACAGACACACCCACACTTTCATCAGCGTGACTTTTAAGGACCCAACTTTCCTTACCTTATCCTCCATCTCAGAGTAGATGATTCTTGGAAATGGACACCCAGTGTTTCATGAGGTCAACTCCGTGATTCATTTTAGAACTGCAGTCTGGTGTCCCTGAGGCCCCTCAGAATGCAGTACTCATGGAGTCCAAGGGAGTGTAGAATCCAGGGACAGATGGGCCCAGAGAAGAGGTAGGGCCTTGGTCTTGGCCTGGCTATGTGAACCCCGCTCATCCTATTGCCACAGTGGCTGGACATGGCTGTCAAAGGTGATTAACCAGGGGACTCACAGGCCACATCTGTGTTTTGGGAAAACCCTGGCTGTGTACATAGAAAGAACCTGCTGGTAGAGGTTAAAGAAAGGAGGGAGGGGAATGATAGAAGCTATTATAACAGTCGCAAGGAAGACAGGCCATGGATCCAAACCAGCAGTTCTCAAATGTTAGGGGGTACTGGGGAGCTTGTGAGTGATTCAGAATCCAGATTTCACCCGATATAGATTGAATCAGAATCTCTAGGGCGGGGCCTGAGAATCTTCATGTTAGAATACTGCAGGTGTTTCTAAGATGAGCTACGCCTGGGAAGAGGATGGTGGCCAACTGGAGCTGGAATAAAGAAGTGCCAAGAGCTAAGGATGATATTCCTGCAGGTCCCTGGGCAGGTGCATGTGTGGGCACGACAGAGCTGAGGGTGAAGCAAGTGTGGATGGGCCAGCAGCAAAGCTGGACAGAGGAGGAGTATGAATCAACATCGGGCACTCCAAGTATCTGCCTGTAGGTGTCCATTCCAGTTTTCTTCCTAAACAAAAACTTTATAACATTTGACTGCATTAAACTCGCAACGAGGAAAATAAAATTTATTTAGAAGACATAGGTATTTCACACCTAGGGCAGCCAATGTTGCTCTAAATTTACCAACAGCTTATTTTTGTTGTTGGGTAGATTGTAAATCTTTGACAGGAGCAAGGAGGTAAAATGCTCCAGGCTGTAAACTTTATCTTATTGGCAAAACGTTTATTATGCAGCTAAAAACATTCGGTTAATAGGCATTGCCCTTCAATAACTGATAACAATCCTGGGTGGTGGTGAAAATGACATATATCTCTCCTCATCCATGGTTTTTTTGCATCACCAATTGTAGGTCATGCCTTTTCTCCTGGCCCCCAACGTTCTAAGCTGGACAGTGAGTGCCCTTTCACTGAACTCACTGGAGTCTGCCTGCCTTCAGAGGGCTTTACCTGTATTTTAGGATCCTCAGTCTTCATTGGTAAGAATACTTGGTTCTAGGAAATAGGAAAAATCCTAGAAAGTGAAGTCTGATGGATAAGTTGCTAATCAGACCAGCTGATTTCAACTGGATCATACATTAAACATCTAGGTGTATCTGCTGGCCCACGCTCAAAGTAAGGAACTGAGGATCCAGAGGCATACACGAACTCATTCCTCTGAATGAATACTGAAACCTTAAAGCTGCAGCAGAATTTTTAGAACAAGCAAACCGCCTCCCCAGGACACCCAGTTAGAACAGACAGCCCTCATGACAATGCACCATTGCGGACATTTCTTTAAAATTACTCCCATCCTTCCTTCTCTGAAGATTTAATGATAAGTCAAGTCTGTCACTTTAAGGAACTGCTGCTTATTATCCTAAATCCTGCAGAGGTTTTGGATCAGGTATAGGAAATTTTCATAAGAACCCAAATTTCACATCGATTTGTGATGGATTAGCTACTGAAATTGGCTTAAAGTGCACTTAATGGATGCATTACTGCAGGAGGGATCCACCTAACTAGAGTATTTCTAAATTTATGAAATTGAAATGCACTTCTGGTTACTGAGCAGTCTAACTTTGTCAAAGTCATAGAATGGGAGACAGATCTTTGCCAATGATAGAGGTGGCAAAAATCTGAAGCCAGGACTGCCAAAATGAATTTGAGAGCCTACACAATGACTCCCATGACTCCATTGTACCCAGGCATAGCCCTTTCCAATGGCAGAGCAGAACCGTGTATTGTGAGCCTCAGTGTTTTACTGAGCCCCGGGATATGCGAGACACAGAGCCAATGAGTGGAGTTCATCCTCTCCTCTGCCCCGCTGAACATTCCTGATCTGTTTACCCGTCATTAACTTGACTTTATTGGTACTGTGGGCTTTAATGGAACAGCAGTTGCATTTGGTTTTTTGCTGAGTGTTTCTGAGCCTCAGTCTCCTGGCCTGAAAAATGACCTGACAAAGCTGTTGAGAAGGTCTAATGTTGGAACACAGGAAAACATTTCAGAGAAAGCCCACAAAGGTGGGGCTTTGTTGGTCCCTTTCTTTGGGCTCCAAATTCAGTCCACCACATGACGCATAGGAGACATTCAGAGAATGTCTGCTGAATGAATGAATGAATGTGATTTTAAGGATCATGCTGACTCTACAGACTTGCAGTTTCCTGATGTCCTTGTACTTATAAAATCTTTTGTTCAAGTTATTGTTTACTGATTTATTTGACTAACAAACATTTATTATGTGACTATTATATGCAAAACTACTTTCAGTAACAGTGATTTTAATAATAAATGATATTTTGATCCCTCATTTTGGCCCCAAAATTGTGCTTAGTATTTTTCAAATATTAATAATTTATTTCCACATCATCCCATCGAGGGAATGTTTCAGTCAGCTACTGCCATAATAATCTTGTGTAACAAAATGTTGACATTTAGTGTCTTCCAATAATAAGCCTATTTCCACCCCTGTTTATGTGTGTATAGGTCAGCTGGGGTGGCTCCGAGTCCAGCTATGAGTGGGGTGACTTCATTCTATGGGTGTTCATTCAGGAACCTTGTTGGAAGGGGCAGTTGTGACTCAGAATGTATTTTTCTCATAATGGACCAACCAATTACAAGAGAGCAAGCCCTCGCAAACACATTTCGAACCTCTCATCCAGTTACATCTCCTGATGTCTCACTGTCTAAAAGCAAGTCCAAAGTCAAGGAATAGAGAAGTTCAATTTTCACACTATGAGGCTGTGACAAGGACATAGATTTGTAATATCAGTGCTATGGTTTGAGTGTGCCCCCCCAAGGTTCATGTGTCAAAATTTAATCTCCAAGGTATGAAAAGGATGAAAATTTAATTCAACTATAGAGTATGGAGGTGGCACCCTTGGGAGGGGACTAGAATTAAAGGCCTGATGATTGAATAATTATGGCTTTGTAAGAAGAGATGAAGAACAGAAGACACACATACATGCTCTCAGCCTCTTGCCATGTGATGCCACTCTGTTGGCAAAAGGCCATCACTAGATTGAGGTACTTGAGCGTCTCGGATTGTTTAGCTTCATAAAACTCTTTTCTTTAAAAAGTTAGCCAGCTTCAGGTATTTTGTTATAGCTAGTGTAGAACAGACTAACAAAACTAGTAGTGGAGAATGAAGAACTGAGATCAATAATTCAATCTACTGCCTGCAGGTGCCTCTGTAAGCTCAAAAAAATGATTTATCTAAGGTTGTTCAGTTAGTAGGTGACATAAGTAGGTTTGAACCCAGGCAGCATAACTTCACAATAACAGAGGCCTAAGGGCCTAAATGTGCACATCTAGGGGAGAAGGTGTTTGTTCTCTTAAATTATCTGCACTTTTGTTCACCTATGAGGTGGTGATACCCTGCCGGTATCAGTCTCTCCCATGTTTACACATCCAGCCACTCATTTAGGTGTGCCTTGCATCTGTGTGTTCTTCCAGCTCTCCAGAATAACAAGCCTGAACGCAACTCTTGGATAATTTTTGAAATCAATGTTGAAGGGAAAAATCACCCTCCAGTTAACCTTAGACTCGTGTCTAAATAGCTTTGGAAAGTCTCTGGTGGCATTCATATCAAAGCGCTACCGTGATTTTACTTAAAAACAATTTGCTCCATGTCAGCGGTGATTTCTGACACCTGAATTTGAAAGTCATCTGGGCGGGCCCAGTGCCATCTCTATAATAAGGCGTGTGTTACTTGGAAGGAAGCGAGGAAAGACGGCTGTAAGTGTGGCAGGGAATAATGTTCCACATACTCTTGCAGGAGGGGATTTCCTCCTTGCCGTTTCCATAGAACCTTCCCTGTGTTTGCTTAAACTCACTGTACACCCCCATCTGACAGCTGCCCGGCCCACAGCCTTTCTTGCAGAGGCCTGCACGACTCACCCTTTTTAACAGCAACCTGCACTGTGTCCTCTGATGCAATTACTCGAGTATATAAACCTCACTGAAAGGCTGGCTTTTCTTGGGAGCTAATAAATAAGCTCCAAAGCCACAACGTGTGTAAGACCTTGAAAAATGGCATCATCATCTATTGGGAATTGTGAACCCTGCAGAAAGCAGCTCATTGTATTTTCAGAAAAAAAGATTTTTGTTTAAAAATATAATAAAGAATGAAAAACTCACCAAGCAGAGTCTATATGGAAAAAGCAACCTGGTCTATGATTCTAGGGCTGGTCTCATTGCTACATTAATCTTTCCTTGCAGATTTTATGTAAGAGGCATTATTTGCAGGAAACAAGACAGGGTTTTAAAGAACTCCCCTCTCATCCCGGGTTCCCATCTGCAGTTATAATCCTCTGATTGTGACCTCTGAATCAGTTGCCATGGATGCTGAGCAGAAGTTTATGACCTCAGGGTGGTAATAGCTTCTGGGGGTGAGCTGAAGCCTTAAGCAATAAAGAAAAAAGGAGAAACGCACTGCCAGGAATCACCCTTTACCCACGTGCTGGCACTACAGTTTAGGAATCACTTTCCTGGTTGCTTTGAGAAACAGACACTGGATGCTAGCCACGGGAACACAGGCGGTTCAAAGACTGCGGATTCTGTTTCGTCCCTTGGACCTCATTCCCTTGAGAGACTGGTTTGGTGTTGCAATTGCCCTCCAGAGACACTCCCAGAGTTTCAGGTGTCATTTCGTTCTTTTCATTAACTAATAACAGGGAGAGGTGAGGGTGGGTAGGGGTTGAGTACTGGAGCGACTCCATGTCCTGGGGCTGCCCGGGGTTCCGTGGAGCAGCTGCTTTCGGGACACTGCGGCAGGCAGGCAGTGTCGCTCGGTTGGCAGGCAGTGTTGTTTGCTTGCTCCGAGTTCTGCAGAATCTCACCTCCCTGAAAAAGCAAACACCCTGAGCAGAGGAACCAAGCCAGGCTTCGCAAGATGCAAAAATACAACAGAGGGCGCCGAACCCACCAACACCATGGCCTAGAATATCAATGTATGGGCTGGCTCCAGACCGCGAAGTTCCTTTAAAAAATTGTCCTTAGCGGGGGGTGGGGGGTGGGGGTGTCACTGCCACACTTTCGGGGTTTTGCTTTTCTCCTTTGGAATCAGCGCAACACACAAACCATGTTTACTTGGTAGGGGTGGGGGCGGAGACCAAACCCACCTCTCGGTGCACAAGCCTTGATCTCACATTCCAGACTACAGCTGATGTGTGTCAGCGCGACATGGGGCGGGGGGAGGGTTCTGTTCGGATGTTTCATTCGCCGACTGCACGTCACTCCCAAACTTTTCCTCCCTGCTCTTGGGGAGTCAGGTTGATGCGCCTTGGATGCAGGGTTCGAGGCGCGGGGCTGGGCGCGCTCCCGCGGAGCCCGAGCTGCGGAGGCTTCCGGGTTGGGCTCGGGCTTTTCAGGTACAAGTTGGGTGCCAGGTGCTGGGGTGGGGCGGCGAGAAGCGGCGGGTAGAGGTCTGGCTCCGAGCTCCAGACCCCCTCTGCGGGTTTCGGTCAGGCAGCGCAGGCGGCGGCCTGGGTTGAGCGGTAGGAGTCCCGGCGGCGGAGGTTGCGCGCAGCCTCACTCCCAGTGGCGCTCCCGGCGCGGAGGCGGTGGCGGCCCAGGCAGACAATGAACTTACGAGCACGCCGAGCCCAGGCAGGTTTGGGCCCTGTGCCCCTTGGTCCGGCGTCCCCAAGGCTTCCAGGAGTCCCAATCCGGAGGCTCCCTTTTCCCACTTGCTTGTCCTGGGCGCGCTCCAGGCACCCGGAGCTTTGGGGGACCCTGCAGCAAAGGCTGCCCGGCGACGACGTTGAGGCTCACACGCCCCCTCCCTAGCCTAAGAATGTGGCTGGAGCTCGGGGACTGGGCACCCGGCGGCACGCGGTGGCGCTGTGGACAGCTGGAGGCGAGCGGAGGATGCACGGTGCGGAGCACGCACCCGCCGGCGGTCCCGCAGAACCGCCCCAGGAGTAGGAATCAGACTGTTCTTGTACCGTGCAGCTCCGGGAGCTGCAGACAGAGGACCAACGGACGAACAGCACAGGGCTTTTGCGGTGTGAATGCACCGTGAGTAGAGTAGGGGCAGAGATTTCCCCCGGGCAGTGCGCCCCGCACCCTACCCCCGGCACACTTCGGGGAAGTTACCAGGAGCGGCCCGGGGCAGGTAGGTGGGCATTTGCCTCTCTTTCTCAGGGCTCCGGCTCCCTGTTCCTCCAGATCCCCAGCTCTAACCCTGCGGCCGTTCCACGCGGCAAAGCTGGGGAATGAATTGGTCTCAGGCCGGGAGACCCGGGTACCGGAGCAGGGGCGGTGAGGCCCGGCCTAAGAAGGGAAGAGGGCGCGGTTGAGCCCCCAGCGGCCAGAACTTTTGCTCCCCGCCTTTTTCTCTCCGCCCTCGGCCCCTCCCCGCGCCCGCCGAGCCTGCGGAGGCGGCGTGACTCGGGAGTTGCGGTGCTTCTCAGAAGCGTCCCTAGACCGATCTGAGCGCCGCAAAGCAAACGAGCAGGTCTGAACCGCGCAGTGTGGCGGCCTTGGGAAGCTCGGGCGGGCGGCCACGCTGTGAGAGCCGGGAAGGCAGCGACTCCGGAGCGGGCGGGGGTGGAGGGGTGGGTACTGTTGATCGTGGTGGAGTGCGATCTGTTTAGATATGTGCGGGTGGAGACTGCGCGGTTACTGTGGGAGGCTAGTGGCGGGTCGTGGCGCGATTGGCCCGATGGAGCCCTCTGGGATGGCGCCTGGAGGCTCGGGGGCGAAGAGAACCTGCTCTTTGAGGGGAATGAATGAAGAGCTGTGGAAGCGCCTTCCGCCTCGGGCTTAGGGATTGGACGCCCTGCGCGCGCGCGCGCGTGTGTGTTTAGGATTCCGAGCTTCCTGGGTCCTGGGTACCGCTGATTGTCTGGGCATCCCGCGTGCCTACAAGTCGTCTGGCCCCTGGCATTCGGCGCAGCTGAAGCGGCGGTATAGGTGCCGCGCAAGGCTGGGGCACGGTTGCCGGCTGCTGGTGGCGGCTGGCCATAGGTGGTGACTGGAGAAAGGTCGGCAAGGCTGGGGGCTGGGGGAATGGCTCGCCCCTGCCCCTTTTGCATCAACTGAGATTCTTTAAATGTAGGGAATGCCTTGATGGATTCGGGTGGCCACCCATAACGGCGCTGGTAAGGCATCTGCACCCCCAGAGGTTGCCTAGGATAAAAACCAGCATAGATATTTCCCCAAAGTTTCTCTCAGGTCCTCCTGCATCATCTTCCTCTCCGGCGCTCTTCTGCAACCCTCACTCATCTGGAACGCTGCAAAAATCACAATCCCTTACTTCTGGAATGTGACATTTATTGATTTTACAAATTGTGTGTTGAATCGGAATCTCCTGATTGATACGTAATGATACACCTATCATGCATAATAGTGTGGGAATAGAATTATCTTTTAATTAGTTTTTGCCAATGAATTTTTCTCCACCAAAGCTGATTATTGGACTGGTAAACTGAGCCAGGAAGTGAAGTGGCTTGCTATGGTCTCCCCTAGGGCATTGATGTGCAGGAAATGGAACTGCAGGGCCAGCTTTCTCTTCCAACCCAGCTCCCCAGGAAGCCCCCTCAGGGGCTGATGAAAATGATGGAAATCCAACACTGTGTCTTTGTCCCTACCAACATGCATGACAGCAGTTAGGGGGCTCTTGTGGGAAGTGTGTGGCATTAGGTCATCTAGGGTATTGTGCAAGTCTGGGAAGGTTGCTCTGCTTTGCTTTCCATTGGTGACTAGAGCACAAAGATGCCTGGACCTCTGCCTTGAACAAGGACTTAACATCATCACTATGGCTGCTATGAGGGCTGCTGCATGCTTCCACAGGTTCCTCCCCCCCATCACTGCTTCCTGTGGCCAGCAAAGGTGAGGTGTCAGAAAAGACACTTGCTTTTTCTCATGCTGGAAGGAGCAGATAAATAACCCTAGGTTAACTGCAGGAGACTGGAAAGTTTGAGCTTGCATGACAGGAAGCTGTAGACTAGGACTAGGAAATGCCCTGATCTAGGGACCTGGGGAGGGGAAGAGGATGGTGGGGTGTCTGGAACAGGGCCAGTTGGGAATAAACAGAGTTGACTGGTCTGGTTAATTTTCAAAGCAATTCTCAAGCCTGGTATTAAACTGTGGCCCAAATTGGAGAAACAGGATAGAGGAGTGAATGTGAGTGTCCTTCCAGGAGTCAGAGATGTGATATATAGCCTCATATGATGTCACATTAACAGACAGATGTGATGCACTCAGGATCACCTGTTCTATGGTTCAAGAATTGGTGGCTGTGTAGCATGCCTGTGGCTGAGTGGAGATGGAAATGAGGCCTATGGAGGCACCTTTGAATGCCTGTGTCTTGCGTTGCTGTGGTTAATCAATGAACTCCACTGTATGCACAGCAATATTTTGCATAAAATTTTTCATACAGTTTTATTTGCTAAAAAGAACCCATAGTTGAGCCTTGGGATTATACAGAGTCCCAGCCTTCACAGGAGAGGGCAGACAAAAATGTTGAGTGTCAGATAGACACATGATTCCTAAGATGTGGTTAGACCCAGGGAGGCGGGTTTAGTAAGGGCAGGACAGGTATTGATTGATGAGCCTCCCTTTCCACATATGTAAACTGAGGTTCGGAGTAGGGGAGTGACTTGTCGAAGGTTACACACCTCGTAAGCAGAAAGTTAGCCCTAGCTCAGGCGCTGGCTCCTTCATCCCACAGGGCTGGACCAGAATCTTTTACAAACTCCTCTTTGAGTGGCCATTGCTTGCAATGGGAGGCCCCTGTGTTTCCTGTCTGCAAGTCCTGGTGCTGGTCCCTCTCTGTGGTCTCAGTATTTCAGAGAGGCCATTTGAAGCCTATTTGTAGGAGAGGGTTGTTGTCATCAATTCTAAAAGGAGGAACTATTTTTTAAAATTTTAACTGGCTTGGGAGTGTCATTCATTTTGACAGAGGCCAAATCTTTAGAGCATGTGATTTAGAAGTGATTCAGTCACTGGTGAGAATAATGTAACCTATCTTCCCTTTTCCTCTATAAGTTGATATTGTTACTTCAAAGGGTAACTTTATTCCTGGCCTGTGATTAAAAAGACATTATTTGCACTTAGTTGGTTAAGCATTGGGAGACTGGCTATTCCAACTTGCAGGGTGTGTTCTTTACCATCCCCAAGTATGAGGATCTGATTTCTTCACTGAAATGGCTTATCCTTTAAAATAAAGCACAGGACAAAATGATGTATGTGTGGGCGTGTCTCCACAGCATGAGATGCCATTTACTACTTAGAAGACCCAGGTTAAATATCCAGAGAGAAAAAGAGAGGTTTTGTGTTAATTTGGCCAATAGAGACTTTTTAAAATATGAAAGTTGAGGAAGGCAGTGAATCATCATAGCTGTCCTTACAGGATCACAGGTGACCCTGTATTAGGCAGAACCCACAGGTGTGTTCCTTTGTCCCCTTCAAAGGTTTGGGAGATGGCTGGAGATCACACACCCTGAGATTTTGGCCATCCAGACGTGCAGAGGAAGGAGCATAGACTGACAGTGGAGGAAGGAGAGGATGGTGGTGGGGTGGAAAGAGAATAACAATCGGGGCTCCAGAAGGAGAAAGCAGGAGTGAATCAGCAAGTGGTTAAATTGGGGGAGGTGGCAAGTAGGAAGCTGTTTTGCATCTTTGCACAATTCGGAG